AAACCGGGATACCTGGAAAACCGTGATAGAATACCAGGAAACCGGGATACCGGGATATTGGGAAACCGGGAAACCGGGAACCGGGAAATCGGGAAACCGGGAAAACCGGGATACCAGGAAACCGGGAAACCGGGATACAGGGATACCGGGATACCGGGAAACCGAGAAACCGGAAAACCGGGATACCGGGAAACCGGGAAACCGGGAAACCGGGATACCGGGAAAACGGGAAACCGGGATACCGGGAAACCGGGATACCGGGAAACCGGGATACCGGGAAACCGGGAAACCGGGAAACCAGGATGCGGGGATACCGGGATACCGGGATACCGGGAAACCAGGAAACCGGGAAGCCGGGATACCGGGAAACCAGGAAACCGGGAAACCGGGATACCGGGCTACCGGGATACCGGGATACTGGGATACCGTGATACCAGGATACCGGGATACCGTGATACCGGGAAACAAGGATACCGGGATACCGGGAAACCGGGATATCGGGATACCGGGAAACCGGGAAACCGGGATACCGGGAAACCGGGAAACCGGGACACCGGGAAACCGGGAAACCGGGAAACCGGGAAACCGGGATAACCGGGATACCGGGATACCGGGATACCGGGAAACCGGGATACCGGGAACCCGGGAAACCGGGAAACCGGGAAACCGGGAAACCGGGATACCGGGATACCGGGATACCGGGAAACTGGGATACCGGGATATCGGGAAACCAGGATACCGGGATACCGGGAAACCGGGATACCGGGAAATCGGGAAACCGGGATACCGGGATACCGGGATAGGATACCGGGAAACCGGGATACCGGGAACCCGGGAAACCGGGAAACCGGGATACCGGGATACCGGGATACCGGGAAACTGGGATACCGGGATATCGGGAAACCGGGATACCGGGATACCGGGAAACCGGGATAACGGGAAACCGGGAAACCGGGATACCGGGATACCGGGATATTGGGATAGGATACCGGGAAACCGGGATACCGGGATACCGGGATACCGGGAAACCGGGAAACCGGGAAACCGGGATACCCGGTATCGGATACCGGGAAACCGGGATACCGGGATACCGGGATACCGGGAAACCGGGAAACCGGGAAACCGGGATACCGGGATACCGGGAAACCGGGAAACCGGGATACCGGGATACCAGGATACCGGGATACCGGGAAACCGGGAAACCGGATACGGGATACCCGAAACCGGGATACCGGGATACCGGGATATCGGGATACCGGGATACCGGAAACTGGGAAACCGGGAAACCAGGATACCGGGATACCGGGATACCGGGATACAGGGCAACCAGGAAACCGGGAAACCGGGAAACAGGGATACCGGGATACCGGGAAACCGGGATACTGGGATACCGGGATACCGGGAAACCGGGAAACCGGGATACCGGGATACCGGGATACCGGGAAACCGGGAAATCGGGATACCGGGATACCGGGATACGGGGATACCGGGAAACCAGGATACCGGGATACCGGGAGGACCGGGAGACCGGGAGACCCGGAGACCGGGAGACCGGGAGACCGGGATACCGGGAGACCGGGAGACCGGGAGACCGGGATACCGGGAAACCGGGAAACAGGGAAACCGGGAACGCGGGAAACCGGGATACCAGGATACCGGGAAAAACCGGGATACTGGGATACCGGGAACTGGGATACCGGGATACCGGGATACCGGGATACCGGGATACCGAAAACCGGATATAGGGAAACCGGGAAACCGGTATACCGGGATACGGGAAAACAAGGATACCAGGATACCGGGATATCGGGAAACCGGGATACCAGGATACCGGGAAACCGGGATACCTGGAAACCGTGATAGAATACCAGGAAACCGGGATACCGGGATATCGGGAAACCGGGAAACCGGGAAACCGGGAAACCGGGAAACCGGGATACCAGGAAACCGGGAAACCGGGATACAGGGATACCGGGATACCGGGAAACCGAGAAACCGGGAAACCGGGATACCGGGAAACCGGGAAACCGGGATACCGGGAAAACGGGAAACCGGGATACCGGGAAACCGGGATACCGGGAAACCGGGATACCGGGAAACCGGGAAACCGGGAAACCAGGATGCGGGGATACCGGGATACCGGGATACCGGGAAACCAGGAAACCGGGAAGCCGGGATACCGGGAAACCAGGAAACCGGGAAACCGGGATACCGGGCTACCGGGATACCGGGATACTGGGATACCGTGATACCAGGATACCGGGAATACCGTGATACCGGGAAACAAGGATACCGGGATACCGGGAAACCGGGATACCGGGATACCGGGAAACCGGGAAACCGGGATACCGGGAAACCGGGAAACCGGGACACCGGGAAACCGGGAAACCGGGAAACCGGGAAACCGGGATAACCGGGATACCGGGATACCGGGATACCGGGAAACCGGGATACCGGGAACCCGGGAAACCGGGAAACCGGGAAACCGGCAAACCGGGATACCGGGATACCGGGATACCGGGAAACTGGGATACCGGGATATCGGGAAACCAGGATACCGGGATACCGGGAAACCGGGATACCGGGAAACCGGGAAACCGGGATACCGGGATACCGGGATATTGGGATAGGATACCGGGAAACCGGGATACCGGGAACCCGGGAAACCGGGAAACCGGGATACCGGGATACCGGGATACCGGGAAACTGGGATACCGGGATATCGGGAAACCGGGATACCGGGATATCGGGAAACCGGGATAACGGGAAACCGGGAAACCGGGATACCGGGATACCGGGATATTGGGATAGGATACCGGGAAACCGGGATACCGGGATACCGGGATACCGGGAAACCGGGAAACCGGGAAACCGGGATACCCGGTATCGGATACCGGGAAACCGGGATACCGGGATACCGGGATACCGGGAAACCGGGATACCGGGATACCGGGAAACCGGGAAACCGGGATACCGGGATACCAGGATACCGGGATACCGGGAAACCGGGAAACCGGGATACGGGGATACCCGAAACCGGGATACCGGGATACCGGGATATCGGGATACCGGGATACCGGGAAACTGGGAAACCGGGAAACCAGGATACCGGGATACCGGGATACCGGGATACCGGGCAACCAGGAAACCGGGAAACCGGGAAACCGGGATACCGGGATACCGGGAAACCGGGATACCGGGATACCGGGATACCGGGAAACCGGGAAACCGGGATACCGGGATACCGGGATACCGGGAAACCGGGAAATCGGGATACCGGGATACCGGGATACGGGGATACCGGGAAACCAGGATACCGGGATACCGGGAGACCGGGAGACCGGGAGACCCGGAGACCGGGAGACCGGGAGACCGGGATACCGGGAGACCGGGAGACTGGGAGACCGGGATACCGGAAACCGGGAAACAGGGAAACCAGGAACCGGGAAAACCGGGATACCAGGATACCGGGAAAACCGGGATACTGGGATACCGGGAACTGGGATACCGGGATACCGGGATACCGGGATACCGGGATACCGGGATACCGAAAACCGGGATATAGGGAAACCGGGAAACCGGTATACCGGGATACGGGAAAACAAGGATACCAGGATACCGGGATATCGGGAAACCGGGATACCAGGATACCGGGAAACCGGGATACCTGGAAACCGTGATAGAATACCAGGAAACCGGGATACCGGGATATCGGGAAAACCGGGAAACCGGGAAACCGGGAAATCGGGAAACCGGGAAACCGGGATACCAGGAAACCGGGAAACCGGGATACAGGGATACCGGGATACCGGGAAACCGAGAAACCGGGAAACCGGATACCGGGAAACCGGGAAACCGGGAAACCGGGATACCGGGAAAACGGGAAACCGGGATACCGGGAAACCGGGATACCGGGAAACCGGGATACCGGGAAACCGGGAAACCGGGAAACCAGGATGCGGGGATACCGGGATACCGGGATACCGGGAAACCAGGAAACCGGGAAGCCGGGATACCGGGAAACCAGGAAACCGGGAAACCGGGATACCGGGCTACCGGGATACCGGGATACTGGGATACCGTGATACCAGGATACCGGGATACCGTGATACCGGGAAACAAGGATACCGGGATACCGGGAAACCGGGATACCGGGATACCGGGAAACCGGGAAACCGGGATACCGGGAAACCGGGAAACCGGGACACCGGGAAACCGGGAAACCGGGAAACCGGGAAACCGGGATAACCGGGATACCGGGATACCGGGATACCGGGAAACCGGGATACCGGGAACCCGGGAAACCGGGAAACCGGGAAACCGGGATACCGGGATACCGGGATACCGGGAAACTGGGATACCGGGATATCGGGAAACCAGGATACCGGGATACCGGGAAACCGGGATACCGGGAAACCGGGAAACCGGGATACCGGGATACCGGGATATTGGGATAGGATACCGGGAAACCGGGATACCGGGATACCGGGATACCGGGATACCGGGATACCGGGATACCGGGATACCGGGATACCGGGATACCGGGAAACCGGGAAACCGGGATACCGGGATACCAGGATACCGGGATACCGGGAAACCGGGATACGGGGATACCCGAAAACCGGGATACCGGGATACCGGGATATCGGGATACCGGGATACCGGGAAACTGGGAAACCGGGAAACCGGGATACCGGGATACCGGGATACCGGGCAACTGGGAAACCAGGAAACCGGGAAACCGGGATACCGGGATACCGGGACCGGGATACCGGGACACCGGGATACCGGGATACCGGGATATGGGGGAACCGGGAGACCGGGAGACCGGGAAACCGGGAAACCGGGATACCGGGATACCGGGATACCGGGAAACCGGGAAACCGGGATACCGGGAAAGACAGCAAGAAAGACAGCGAGGGCGAGCAGGAAGAAGTTCAAGATTGAGGGGAGAGGGCTCATCAGCCTGCCTCCCCTCCTGCCTGCTTGCCCGCCCACACCTACACACAACACACATACGCACGCACCTGAGCCATGGTCATGCCAAACACAAGGTAGGCGTAGGTGGCATATGCGAGGAAGACTGCTAGGGCGAGCAGGAAGAAGTGCAGGATGGAGGGGAGAGCCCTCACCAGCCTGCCACACAAGGCGCCACGCATGCGCCCCCCGCACACACACGTCCGACTCACCTGTGCCATGGTCATGCCAAACACGAGGTAGGCATAGGTGGCATAGGCGAGGAAGACAGCCAGGGAGAGTAGGAAGAAGTGCAGGATGGAGGGGAGGGCGACGCGGATGGAGCGAGTGATGATGCCCATGTGCGGCTGGAAGTCCATCAGCTTGAGCACTCGCAGCACCATGATGAACACACTGATGAGGTTGGGGCGTAGGAGAGATGGGGGAGGGAAGGATGGAGAGGGACGCATGGGTACAGGAAAGGCGGTGGGGGAAAAGAGAGTGCAAACCCGGAAAACACTCACTGCAAGTCACTCACTGCAACCCGCTCATTGCAAGCCCTTCATTTCACTGCACTCACTTCATGCCCTGCAGAGCGAAGTAAGCTGAGCTCGTGTTGATAATACTGCCCAGTTTGTCAGCAGCAGCCACTGCAGCCAGGTACCCCGAGGGCGGGTTGGGGAGGGCCCAGTAGCGCGGGTACTCATCCAGAGTGTAGTAGATGTTGTAGCGTGCCTGCATGTTGAAGCTCTGCCCGGATAGCACTGCCATTGATATCCTGCGCATGGTGCAGGGGAGAGTGAGCGGGACAGGGCACATCAATACAAGCACCACTTGAGAGGGCAGAGGGCAAGAGGGCGGGTTAGGGAGTGCCCAGTAATAAGGGTACTCATCAAGAGTATAGCATATGTTGTAGCGGGCTTGCATGGTAAAGCTCACTGCACACTCACTGCACACTTACTGCACACGCACTTCACACTCACTCCACATTCACTTCACAACACTAATGACGCCACAACATCACACTCCCCCACTCACCACATGCAGATGCAGAGAATCTGGACGGAGATGGAAAGCCAGTCCACCCAGTTCCACCCCTGCCGCCAGTAATGCCAGAAGGACCTTCGCTGCACCTTCCAAATCCACATCATCTCCTTCACCTCCTCCACTACGTTCCAAACCACGCCGGCCACAAACAGCAGCTCCAGGACGAGCCGTATCACGTTGTTTGTCACATTCAGGTCGTAGTATTCCACGTTGACCGGCTGGATTAGGAAAGTAGCGTCCATGCTGCCGCCCGGCTGAAGGGAGAGGGTGGCTTTGGTGGCGGTGAACAGTTGCTCATTGGCTGGAGGGGAGCAACAGGGACAAGGGAAGCCGGGGCAAGAGGGGGTACAAGGGGATGAGGAAATGGGTTTAGTGAAAATGAGGAACATGGTTGATGGTGGTGGTGAAAAGTTGCTTGTTGGCTGGAGGGGGCGACAGCAAGGGAGGCAACAGGAAGGGATGAGATGACAGGGACAGGGGTAATCGGGAAAGGGAGAGGAGAGGAAAAGAGGTTGTCGAAGGAGAATACTGAGACATCTCAAAGAAGTTTGAGAATATGCTCCCTCCATCCCTCCCTCCCTGCGTCTCACCCTTGCGAGTGATGAGTTTTGAGACGTCTCATGAGCACGACATCGATGCTGCGTGTGTAGTTGTCCACAAAGAACCCATCCACTGCAGCCGCCACCCCATTGTCAAGGAGCAGCCCCCCCTCCCTGCCTCTCACTGTTCCTCCCTGCCTCTCACCATTGCGGGTGATGAGCACCACATCAATGCTCCGTGTGTAAGTTGTCCACAAAGAACCCATCCACCAGGTACTGCAGCCGGCGCGTGGCCCACCGGTTGTCATGTGCACACCTCATAACCGCATCTCACCGTTGCCTCTCACCATTACGAGTGATGAGAACCAGGTCAATGCTGCGTGTGTAGTTGTCCACGAAGAACCCGTCCACCAGGTACTGCAGCCGCCGAGTGGATGCACCATTGTCATGAGCACACCTCATTACCGCATCTCACCACTGTTGCCCCTCACCGTTGCGAGTGATAAGAACAATGTCGATGCTGCGCGTGTAGCTGTCCACGAAGAACCCGTCCACCAGGTACTGCAGCCGCCGAGTGGATGCACCATTGTCATGAGCACACCTCATTACCGCATCTCACCACCGTTGCCCCTCACCGTTGCGAGTGATAAGAACAACGTCGATGCTGCGCGTGTAGTTGTCCACGAAGAACCCGTCCACCAGGTACTGCAGCCGCCGAGTGGATGCACCATTGTCATGAGCACACCTCATTACCGCATCTCACCACCGTTGCCCCTCACCGTTGCGAGTGATAAGAACAACGTCGATGCTGCGTGTGTAGTTGTCCACGAAGAACCCGTCCACCAGGTACTGCAGCCGCCGTGTGGATGCACCATTGTCATGAGCACACCTCATTACCGCATCTCACCACCGTTGCCCCTCACCGTTGCGAGTGATAAGAACAACGTCGATGCTGCGTGTGTAGTTGTCCACGAAGAACCCGTCCACCAGGTACTGCAGCCGCCGTGTGGATGCACCATTGTCATGAGCACACCTCATTACCGCATCTCACCACCGTTGCCCCTCACCGTTGCGAGTGATAAGAACAACGTCGATGCTGCGCGTGTAGTTGTCCACGAAGAACCCGTCCACCAGGTACTGCAGCCGCCGTGTGGATGCACCATTGTCATGAGCACACCTCATTACCGCATCTCACCACCGTTGCCCCTCACCGTTGCGAGTGATAAGAACAACGTCGATGCTGCGTGTGTAGTTGTCCACGAAGAACCCGTCCACCAGGTACTGCAGCCGCCGTGTGGATGCACCATTGTCATGAGCACACCTCATTACCGCATCTCACCACCGTTGCCCCTCACCGTTGCGAGTGATAAGAACAACGTCGATGCTGCGTGTGTAGTTGTCCACGAAGAACCCGTCCACCAGGTACTGCAGCCGCCGTGTGGATGCACCATTGTCATGAGCACACCTCATTACCGCATCTCACCACCGTTGCCCCTCACCGTTGCGAGTGATAAGAACAACGTCGACGCTGCGCGTGTAGTTGTCCACGAAGAACCCGTCCCCCAGGTACTGCAGCCGCCGTGTGGATGCACCATTGTCATGAGCACACCTCATTACCGCATCTCACCACCGTTGCCCCTCACCGTTGCGAGTGATAAGAACAACGTCGATGCTGCGTGTGTAGTTGTCCACGAAGAACCCGTCCACCAGGTACTGCAGCCGCCGTGTGAATGCACCATTGTCATGAGCACACCTCATTACCGCATCTCACCACCGTTGCCCCTCACCGTTGCGAGTGATAAGAACAACGTCGATGCTGCGCGTGTAGTTGTCCACGAAGAACCCGTCCACCAGGTACTGCAGCCGCCGTGTGGATGCACCATTGTCATGAGCACACCTCATTACCGCATCTCACCACCGTTGCCCCTCACCGTTGCGAGTGATAAGAACAACGTCGATGCTGCGTGTGTAGTTGTCCACGAAGAACCCGTCCACCAGGTACTGCAGCCGCCGTGTGGATGCACCATTGTCATGAGCACACCTCATTACCGCATCTCACCACCGTTGCCCCTCACCGTTGCGAGTGATAAGAACAACGTCGATGCTGCGCGTGTAGTTGTCCACGAAGAACCCGTCCACCAGGTACTGCAGCCGCCGTGTGGATGCACCATTGTCATGAGCACACCTCATTACCGCATCTCACCACCGTTGCCCCTCACCGTTGCGAGTGATAAGAACAACGTCGATGCTGCGTGTGTAGTTGTCCACGAAGAACCCGTCCACCAGGTACTGCAGCCGCCGTGTGGATGCACCATTGTCATGAGCACACCTCATTACCGCATCTCACCACCATTGCCCCTCACCGTTGCGAGTGATAAGAACAACGTCGATGCTGCGCGTGTAGTTGTCCACGAAGAACCCGTCCACCAGGTACTGCAGCCGCCGTGTTGCTGCCCCGTTGTCCAGATTCACATCAAACACCAGCGGGAAGCGGCTGCTGCCAGGCTGCATGAGAGACAGGGAGCGGACAGACAACAGGGGACAAGGTTACAGATTCACATCAAATACCAGTGGGAAGCAGTTGCTGGAGGGAGCATTGGCAGCAGCATGCCAGAGTCGCACCAACACCCTCACAGCAACGCCAGAGCGCTACTGCCTTGGAGTCTTACTAGCTGCTGAAAGCAATAGGGAAACCCCTTGGCATTGAGCTCAAAAAGATTGGCAAAGGACTTGTTCCTGCAGGCGTTGGCAGGCGTTGGCAGCCGCACTAGCAAAGTGGAGCGAGGTTGAAATTGTTTTTGAGAATTCTGAAAAACAATCTGCAAGATTGGCAAAGGACTTGTTCCTGGAGACGTTGGCAGGCGTTGGCAGCCGCACTAGCAAAGTGGAGCGAGGTTGAAATGTGAGGCGCCCAAAACTCAAAGATCAAAAGCAGAGAGGGAGTCTCACCAGCTGCTGAAAGCCATATGGCAACCCCTTGGCGTTAAGCTCAAAGGGATTGGCAAATGTTTCGTTGGTGTAGGCGGTCATGTTGGCAGCAGCATTGGCGTTGTACAGCGAGGAGGACGGAAGGAAGACTGGGTTCACCCCGAAAGCCTCGGATGACTCGCCTCTCACACACAAGTCCTGGAAGTGAAACCTGCACATCCGGTTGGGGGTGAAGTGGAGACGAGCAGGGTGGGGTTGGCAAAGGAAGCGTTGGTGTAGGCGGAGGTGTTGGCAGCAGCATTGGCGTTGTATAGCGAGGAGGACGGAAGGAAGACTGGGTTCACCCCGAACGCCTGGTGGGGCGTAGTGATGTTGCGACTGGTGTGGTCACTGAAGCAGTTTTGAAAGAGCAGCAAATGGTTAATCGGGCGTAGTGATGTCGCGACTGGTGTGGTCACTGAATACAGGCGTGCTTTATGCCTGACCATGCGCGTTAAGGCTGGCCCATGCTAACAGCACAGCTCACCAGCTCATTCCCATGCATGTGCCTCACTCACTTGCCTGCTCATGCACCGTCTGCGTTCAGAGCAAGCTCAAGCAGCAGCCGCACCGGAGCTCCCCCTCCGCTGTTGCGCAGCCACTTGATCTTGTTCACATGGACCTATGGGGCCCTAATCCCTCTCCCACTCGCCAGGGCCATCGCTACCTTCTCGTGCTTGTTGATGATCACAGTCGGTACTCATCCGTCTCTCTCCTTCGGACGAAGGCGGATGCCCCGGCTGCGATCATCGCCTGGCTCGAGCGGGCAAACACCCATTTTGGGCGCCCTGTTCACCGTCTTCACTCTGATGGAGGTGGTGAGTTCCTTAACAACCAAGTTTCCTCCTATTGTCAGTCTCGTGGCATCCTTCAGACTTACATCCTCCCTCACTCCCCACAGCAGAACGGCGTGGCTGAGAGTCGTGTTCGAGAGATCACCAAAACAGCCCGATGTCTGCTTGTCCACGCCTCCTGTCCCCCTTCTCTTTGGGGCTACGCCCTCCTTCATGCCGCCCTCCTTACTAACCTTTACCCTCACCCCCTTCTCCCCTCCATCACCCCCACTGAGCTATGGACGAAGGACAAGCCTGATGCCTCATCACTTCGTGTCTGGGGCTCTAAGGCACATGTCCACATTCACCCCTCTAACCGCTCCCGTTCCATGGGAAAGCTTGCCCCTCGTACCCTTCCTTGCATCTTCCTTGGTCATAATCCCTCCTCCCCCGACTACCTTTTCCTCCACCCCCCATCCGGTCGTCTAATCCGTAGCAGGGATGTGGTCTTTGACGAGTCCACTCCCTACTACTCCTCTCCCACATCTACTGACCCACTCCCCCCTCTCACCCGTCCCCTTGTCTGGTCTGACACCACCCCTCCCCCACTACTCCCTCCTCCCCTCATCCTCCCACCCCCCCCTTCTCCGCCGTCCCAGTCCCATGGTGCCCCTCCCTCTTCTGGTGACATCTTTGACCCGGAACCTCTGTCTTCTCCTGTCTCCCCTGCTCACTCCTCTCCTAGTACCCCTCCCCCCCCCCCCTTCCTCTCCCTCGCCACCAACCCGTCCTCCCCCTTCCCGCACCATACTCACCCGGTATCCCCACACCAGGTCACGTGACGGTATCCTTGGTGCACCGCCTCCCGTTACCCTCTCTACCTATACCCTTCCCCCTCTCTCCCCCCTCCTTCGTCACTTCTTCCAGGCTGTCTTGCATCAAGCCCCTCATGCAACAGCCCCCTCAGCCACCTCCTCTCCAGCAGCGGCACCAGCAGCGGCTCCTAGCAGCGGCAGCAGCAGCGGGACCAGCAGCGGCAGCAGCAGCAGCAGCGGGAACGGCATCGGCAGCAGCAGCGGGACCAGCAGCGGCACCAGCAGCGGCACCAGCAGCAGCACCAGCAACAGGACCAGCAGCAGCACCAGCAGCGGCACCAGCAGCGGCACCAGCAGCAGTACCAGCAGCAGCACCGGCAACGCCTCCACCAGCAGCACCAGCAGTCATCGGCGCCTTCCACACCTCCCTCTCTGAGGACTCCCATGAGGAGTTCCTTGACCTCCACCTTTATGACCCCTCACTTCTACCCATCACGTTCGACCTCTCCGGCACACCTGTCTTCGCCTTCTCCTCTGCTCCCTCCATTTTCGTTCCTACCACGTACGAGGAGGCAATGGCGTGCCCTGACGCTCCGCTATGGCTCGCTGCCATCATCAAGGAGCTGGAGGCCTTTATCGGCAACTCCTCCTTTGTCGATGTGCCTCGCCCTCCCGCCCCTACGAACGTGGTGAAAGGAAAGTGGGTGTTTCGTGTCAAGCAGCTGCCAGGGGAGCCGCCCGTCTATAAGGCTCGTTGTTGCGCCAAGGGGTTCACGCAGCGGTATGGTTTTGACTTCTTCGATACCTTCTCCCCTACTGCCAAGCCTGCTACTGTTCGCGCCGTGCTCGACCTCGCCGCTCGCCTCATTATGGAGATCCACTCGATGGACGTTTCTAACGCCTTCCTACAAGGCGTCCTCCGCGAGCTTATCTACATGGAGCGTCCAGCCGGCTTTCACCTCCCCTTCCCAGCAGACTCTGTCTGGCAGCTGCGTCGACCGGTGTATGGGCTTCGACAGGCCCCGAGGGAGTGGCATGCTAAACTTGCCGCCACCCTTGCTCAACTCGGGTTCCGCACCTCCCGCTCTGACGCCAGCCTCTTCCTCCGCACCTCCCCCTCCCCATTTTACATCCTTGTGTATGTCGATGACATGATTCTGCTCACTGCCGACCTTGAAGAGTTGGAGCATGTTAAGGCTGAGTTGGGCAGCCGTCTCAAGTGCAAAGACTTGGGAGAGCTACGGCATTATCTGGGCATGACCATCACCCGCGACCGCTCCGCCCGCACCATCTCACTCTCCCAAGGTCATTACTTGCAGCAGGTCTTGGAGCGGTTTGACATGGCCCGCGGCGGCGCCCAACATACACCTCTTTCTGTCGGGCACCACCTCTCTCCACCCACCTCCCCCTCCGCCTCCTCCCATCCTTATCCCGAGCTCATCGGCTCCCTCATGTACGCCATGGTCTCCACTCGCCCTGACATTGCCTACCCCATCAGCGTCCTCGCTCGGTTTGTTGGCGCTGGCAAGCATACGGCTGAGCACTGGCAAGCTGCCAAGCGCGTCCTCCGGTACCTTCGTGGCACCAAGGACTATGTCCTTACCCTTGGCGGCCCTTCCCCACCTCTCCTCAGCGGCTACAGTGACTCCTCCTGGGCTGACTCCCGACCAGACCGTCGCTCCTCCTAGGGCTATGGCTTCTCTCTTGGCAGCGGCCTCATCAGCTGGCGTTCCACGCGCTCCTCGGCTATCGCCCTCTCGTCCTGCGAAGCCGAGTTGTATGCCGCCACCATGGTTGCACAAGAGGCTCGCTGGCTCTCCTTCCTTCTTGAGGAGCTTGGTGCCCCCCAGCGCTGTCCCACCATTTGGTGTGACAACGCCAGCACCATTCACCTCACGAAGGATGCTGTGTTTCACGGGCGCTCCAAGCACATTGAGCTCCGTCATTTCTTCATTCGCGATCTTGTTCAGGTTGGGCACCTGCGGCTCGACAAGGTTGACTCCGCGGCCAACCTTGCCGACATCTTCACAAAAGCTCTTCCTCATGCGGCTCACTCTTCACTGATTCGTCTCCTTGGTCTTACTCCTCCGAAGTTGGTCCCCGCTTCTTGATTGTAGCCTTCTAGCCTTATGCATGTTCGGGGGTTGTGTTGTAATTCCATATTTTATACAACATGCATAGGCTAGACTTAGATGTGTAGTAGACATGAGCATCGCACGAATCCGAACACGTTTGATTCGAACCTTTTCGAACACCTGGAAATTTCGAACCGAACGTGTTCGGTTCCCTCGAACATTTTTTTCAGAAAACTCATGTTCGAGTGTTCGCATTCAGAGGCGAACACTTAGATGTTCACGGGAACATCTAAGTGTTCGTGGCGAACTCAAACGTGTTCGAGTTCGCCCCTGGATTTTCCACAAATCCTTCGTCGTTTCCCCACCTTGAACCGGTATCACCAGTCCCTTTCATCGCCAGAGATCTCGTCCCTAAATCAGGTTATCCCTTGGAAAGGAGGGAAGGAGAGGTCGACGGGCGAATGCCTTTCGCCACAGGCGAAGGGTCTGTCCGGACTACAAGTAACGGTTAGCCGCGTTTACTTTATAGTGGATCTGCTATAAACGGGCTCTTAGTAGCGGAAATGCCTAAGTACCCGTTCTTGGCTTATGTTTGCGTACACTAGGAGCCTAAGCCATGCTAAACTAAAAGCACGAGATCGAGCTCGAAATTAGCTCAATCCCAGATATGGAAACCAGCGCGGCCGATGTCGCGCTGGTATTTATCACGAACACTTTGATGTTCGCGTAGGGCAATTTCGAACTCGAACCCGTTCGAGTTCGAAGCGGCGCGGTAAAAAAAACGCATTCGAACTCGAACATGTTCGTATCGAACCTTTTTAGCCAAAAGACAAGGAATGTTCGGTTCGACTCGAACGTTCGTGAATATGCTCATGTCTAATGTGTAGCACTCTTATAAATTGGGGGGTTGGTTAGTGTACCCTCCAACCACATTTTGTGGTTGGTGGGGATTGGTCCTTACCTCAACCAATCCCAACCAACACACATTTTGTGGTTGCTTGGGCCACAAGCAAGCTCACCCATTGGCCAACTTATTGGCCAATAGGGTAAGCTTCCCTCTCATCTCTCCCTTGCTCATTGCTTGTACTAAAGAGCCTTTTGGCTCATTATTCAGTGCATCAATTCTCTCTCTTCTAACACATGCATGTGCCTCACTCACTTGCCTGCGCATGCCCATGCATGTGGCCCGCTTACCTGCTCGTGGCACAGTCTGCAGAGTCCCAGCGGTATTGTACGATGATGAGACCCATCAGCACCCTGTGCGGGGAGGGGAGAGCACGGAGAAGCGGGAGATGCACGAGGGGCGGGAGAGGCAGGAGAGGCAGGAGAGACAGGAGAGGGAAAGACAGGACAGGAATCAGGCAGGATGCAGAGCACGCAGCTATGGTTCTGGTTGGCTCACAGCAAGCATCACACTCTGCTTCTTTGGTTGGCTTCAAATCAGAGCGTGAGGAGTGCCAGAGGTATTGCACGATAGTGAAACCCATCAGCACACTGAGGCGAGGGGAGGGGATAGGAAGGAGGTTCAGGAGGGACACATGGGGGGGGCTGAAGAGGCAGGAGTTACAGGAGAGGGAAAGGGGCAGCATGCATAGAAATAAAGAGATTGCAGAACAAGAACACGGCGTTAATTGCAAAACAGGAGAGGCTGTGGCCACGAACCTATTGCATTGGGACACAACACAAGTTTTGAGACGTCTCAAAACACGAACCTGTTGTATTGGGACACAACACGAGGCAGAGCAGTAGCGGTGCTGCCGAGAGTGGAGAGGAGGGGATGCACTGTGGGGCCGAATCGTTGCAGACTGAAGGGGACCTTGATGCCCGTGCCTGCTCCTGCTGCTTCACAGCACGCTGAGTGATGGAGGAAGGGAGGCCAGAGAAAAAAGAGTGAAAGAGAAAGACCGAATGCTGTGAAGCCATCTTTGGGAATTCTCAAAAGCCACTGATAAAGGGCCTCCTCCGCTCATCTAAACAATTCACGGGTTTGGACCACTTAAGCCTAGGGAAAGTATAATCATTTACCTTCTGAGCAGCCTAACAAACAACTGCACGCGCGTACCTCCATCATCGCCCCGTATCTGCAACACAGGACATGTGCACCACTGCACACCCACTCCTCCTCCCACACTCCCACCCGCACTCGCACCACCGCCACTGCTGCCACTGCCGCTGCCTCCTCTCCCACTCCCACCACCAGCACCAGCAGCATCACTGCCGCTGCTCACGCTGCTTCCAATACTCCCGCTGCCAGCGCCGCCGCAAGCGCAGTCCCCCCCGTCGAAGTCACAGAGAGCCACGTTGCAGGGCTGGTCGCAGCGGCCGTTGGCGAGCATGGAGAGACGGCAGTCCGGCGCACAGAGAGAGGCGAGGAGGAGCGCGTAGGGGGGGAGAGAGTCGCGGGGCTGGGGTGCTGGTGGTGGGGGGTAGGGGGAACAGGAAAGAGTTGGGAGAGGGGGAGAGGAGTCAGAAGGTGCAAAGGGGTACTTGCTGGTCGCAGCGACCGTTGGCCAGCATGGCGAGACGAGACGGCAGGCAGGCGCACAGAGGGAGGCGAGGAGGAGCACGTAGGGGGGGAGAGAGTCGCGGGGCTGGGGTGCTGGTGGTGTGAGGGAGGGGATGGGGGGCCGGCAATGGTTGAGAGAAGGGGAGAGGAGTCAGAAGGTGCAAAAAAGCACGGTGCAGGGTTGGGTTTTGAGACGCCTCAATAAACAGAGAGCCACACCCCCGTCAAAGCCACAGAGAGCGACGTTGCAGGGCTGGTAGCAGCGACATTAACATTACCATTACCATAACCATTATCAACCATTACCATTACCATTACAATTACAATTACCATTACCATTACCATTATCAACCATTACCATTACGATTACCATTACCATTACCACTACCACTACCACTATCATTACCATTACCATTACCATTACCATTACCATTACCATTACCATTACCACTATTACCATTATCAACCATTACCATTACCATTACCATTACCATTACCATTACCATACCATTACCATTACCAATACCAATATCAATACCATTACCATTACCATTACCATTACCATTACCATTACCATTACCATTACAATTACCATTACGATTACCATTACCATTATCATTACCATTACCATGACCATTAGGAAATGGTTGGGAAAGGCGGAGAAAGAGTCAGAAGCTGCAGAGGGGCATATTGCAAGGTTGAGTTATGTGCATCCATAGAGGGTGACGTTGCAGGATGAGAGTGAATGCGTGTAACAGAGGGGAGTCCCTCACTTTCATGTTTCGAGCCGTGCCTAACACCCATGCACCACACTTCTGGAGTCATGCCCACATGCAAGCCTGGACCCATACACCCACGCATCCATGCACCCATGCGCGCACCTGAATCATTCCTGGCGCGGATGAGGGTGAATGCGAGTGACTGAGGCGAGTCCTTCACAGCTATGTCTCGAGCCGTGCCAAACACCTTGGTGTATGCGAACTGGGGCGGTGATGAGTCGTCGGGAGAGCCTGCAGGGGAGGGTGCAAGAAGGAATGAGTTGAAAGACAAAATTTCTATGATATCGCAAATAACAAGCACGCAGTGCCAAACACCTTGGTGTATGCGAATTGGGGAGGTGATGTGTCGTCGGGAGAACCTGCAGGGAAGGCGTGGTGGGTGGGGTGAGGTGAGGAGTGCTTTGGGACTCTTGAGAAACCTTAAACAGACTTCTTCAGGCACCTCAACAAAAGGCATGAGGAGTGGTTGAGGGTTAATGGAGGACAAAAGAGGTAGTGCGAAAATGAGGGGTGTTGAGGACAGTGAGATAGTAGGGGGAGATGAAGGGGTGTTTGAGGGAGGTATGGCAACAAACCTGGTGTTTAAGTGCAAACGGCATTGAAAAGATATAACAGACGTTCACATATGCATGCCATGTCACCATATGCCAGCATGGCATGCCACGTCACCACTCACGCAGCACGCATGGCGCAGGCTCATCCGAGGCATCTCTGGGCCCAATGTTATCCCATGCACATGTGGCAAGCCGTGATAGGCCGAGCCGCCCCGCTCCAAACCCAAGAAACGGCTCCGAACCCGCCCATGCTGCAGTGAGGGACGAAAGAGGAAGAAAAATCAAACAAATGCATGCGGAGCGTCAGATGGAGTAGAATGCATGTGCCCACCAACCCTGCAGTGAACCCAGTGAAAGAGTAAAAGAGAGAGGACCCTGTGCAATTTTCACTGCACCGCACCTGAGAGCTCGTGGTAGTCGTCGCCGTTCCACACCTACCCACGTGGGCATGGGATGGGCAGAGGCCCACCACATCAAATCAAAGATTCACAAGCGAAGGGCAGGGCACTGCTGCACCTCTCCCGTCTCCCTCTCCTCCCTACCCTTGCTCGCCACACCTGAGAGCTCGTGGTAGTCGTCGTCGTTCCACACCCACGTGACCCGCTGCCCGTCTGATATGGCGCGGCGGGTGAAGGACGCAGAGTCCCATAGAACCATAAAATCCGCTGGGGGAGAGGAGGGGGACCCGGGGAGGGAGGAGAGAAGGATTGTAGGGAGAGGAGGAAGCTCTTGAGTTATTACAAAAGCACCCACTTGGGACGCGCAAGGCTCTTCGAAACGCTTGCGCCCTGACGAGGAGTTATTACAAAAGCACGTGAGGGAGAAACAGACAGGAAGCTGAGGGTAACAGCAGGAGCACCTGAGAAAAACAGAGAGCACCTGAGACCAACAGCAGGAGCACCTGGGAAGATCATAGGGGCACTTGAGAGCAACAGAAAGAGAGATGCACCTTGGGGGCACGGCGAGGCGTCTGGCGAGACCACTGCGTCGTTGAAGATGTGCAGCAAGTGGGTGGCAGCCTGGACGGCATCGCTCGGCATCTTCTGCACGACTGACTGCAGCGCCATGACGAGGATGCGGACGAAAAGAGCCTGCTGGGCGGCAGAGAAGCGCCGGGAGGGACTGAGAAAGAAGAGAACGGGTGGAGTAGGGGAAGGGAGGGGGGAGAACTGGGATGGCCATGAGAGGAGGGAGAGATGAAAAGGTTTTGGGAGAGGAAGGATGGTGGATAATGAGAAGGAGCCTGGTGGATAAACCCCTTGCCACTAATTGCATATAGTTGAGGTTGAGCGCACACCATCCTTCCCTTACCTGCGGTGCGTTGCTCGAATGTAATCCACCAGCTCTGCATGATCCGTCAGTTGCCGCCTGAAGAAAGCGTCCGTGAAGTTGCAGTGAGGGTGGGAGGTGAAAGGCCCAGCGAAGAGCGTGCAGAGGAAGGCAACGAGGCGATTGCGCGAGGCCAGGGAGAGGCTCTTGGCTGGGGACGACTGCTCCAAGCTGCTGCTATTACTGGTGGTGCTGCTTCTGTTGTTATCGTTGCTGCTGCCACTACCACCGCCACTGCTGCTGTTACCACTGCTGCCATTGCTGCCACTGCCACTGCCACTGCCACTGCCACTGCCACCACTGTCACTGCTGCCGCCAGCTGTCGGCCCGGCCAGGCAGTTCTCCTTCACTGCGGTGTACAGCGCCCGTGCCACCGCCACCTGGCACGCCCTGATTCGCTCTCCGTCTGTCGTCCCAAGGCTCTCCCACACGAGCCGCTGGGCTTCTGCGATTGGCTGGGAGGAGGTGGCTGGAGGGGGTGGGGGGGAGAATGGGTGAGGATGAGGGGATGGAAGGGTGGGTGAGGTGCAAGGAGGCAGCTTCGGTGGCTGGTGGGAAGAGGAAGCTGGGAAGGGGGGGGGAGGGAGAGGGGGGGTGGGAGGCGCATCAAAATTCACCTGGGAGGAATGAGGAGGTCGGTGGAGAGGGGAAGAGCTGTCGGCTGGAGCGAAAAGCACCGGCACTCTTGTGAGGAGGAGCGTGGAGACTAGGGGGGTGGTGGAGACTGGAAGCGTGGAAGGAGGGAGCACTGACCCGTTCTTCCTTTAGCTTCTGCCTCAGCTGCTGGTGGTGCTGGCAGGGAGGGAGACACGCGGGCATGGAGACGACGTGGAGTGTAATCAGGAAACACAATTAGGGTCAAAAAGAGGAGGGGTTGACGGGATCATCTTAAACGCCCCGATGACAAAGGATATCATAACCGAGACAACGCATTGACAACCAAAGACAGAGGATCGTCAAACCAGCACATACCTGGACTGAAGGAGAGCATGGGAAGAACTTGCCTCAGAGTACATACCAGCTGCACTGACGCCATGCCAGCCCAGGGATCCAAGAGAGACCCGGCAGGCCAAGAGGGGTGCGGGGAGGACATGGGGAGCGCTTCAGGAGCAGAGGAGCTGACACGGCTGTGCACACAGGGAGCGGCTGGGGTGTTGGTTGGGAGACTGGTGCTGGAAGGGTCACACGGAGTGACTTGAAGAGGTGCTTGTTGCAAGTGGCTGCTGCTGCTGGCGCTGCTGCTGTGAGCAGACGACTCTAGTAGCAAACGAGCAGACAGGGAACTTGGTGCTTCTGGTGCGTCCACTGCTGCTGCTGCCTCTGCTGGTGCTGCTGCTACTGGTGCTGCTGCTGCTGGTGCTGCTGCTGCTGGTGCTGCTGCTGCTGGCGCTGCTGGTGCTGCTGCTGCTGGTGCTGCTGCTGCTGGTGCTGCTGCTGCTGGTGCTGCTGCTGCTGGTGCTGCTGCTGCTGGTGCTGCTGCTGCTGGTGCTGCTGCTGCTGGTGCTGTCGGTGCCGCTGCTGTTGTAGGTGGCTGGGATGCTGCTGCTGCAGGGGACTCTGAGAGCATATCTGCGCACATCCATACAGGGCACACGTGGTAGGATCAGAGGACGTAGGTGATGGTGTGTGTGTTTAAGGCGTCTGGCAGGCAGGCACAAGGCAAAGGAGAAGTGGTGGTAGGAGAAGCGGCAGAGAGTGCAGCAGGATATGACGACATGGCAGGGGAAGGGTATGGGCAAGGGCGGAGGTGAGGGGCAGGGGGAGCACCAGTGCATGAGGGTGTTTGCAGAGACGCCTCGAAGACAGTGAACGCCTGGCGGGAACAGCGTTGTATGGGGAGGGAAAGAAGGGGGACACCGGAGGAGGGTATGGGCAAGGCAAGGAGGTGAGGGGCAGGAGGGACGGTAGGAACAGGACTGCAGTTGAAAGTATGAACCCCTGAGAGCACCAAGCACATCCGAGACACATCGAAGACCAAAATGGAAGCATGCAAAGGGAATGCGTGTGTGAGGGGTCTGATCTCACCTGGGAGCAGGTGATGCTGTCAGGGGGGTCGAAGGTGGTCCCTGGCAGCATGATGTTGCACGCCTGGAAGCAACTGCCTAGCGCTGCAGATGCCACACGCACGGGCAGAGTCGTGGGAGGACTGGTGCTTGCGGCGCTGCTGCTGCTGTTGCCCGTGCTGCTGCTGCTGCTTCTGGTGCACAGTTGCGGGAGACAGATAGTCCATATGGCACAGGTCTGGGGCATGGGAGACGCGAGGGAGAGGAGTGAAGAGAAGGGAGTGAGTGAGGACTGGTGCTGTTGGTGGTGTTGCCAGTGCTGCTGCTGCTTCTGGTGCACAGTTGCGGGAGACAGATAGTCCATATGGCACAGGTCTGGGGCATGGGAGACGTGAGGGAGAGAGGAGAGCGGAGAGGGAAGTGAGGAGACGGGAGGGAGGAATAGGGAGAGCAGAGTGCTCACAATGACATAACCACGCACTGCACCTGTCTGCACCGCACCGCAGCATGCACGTCTTCAGCACCTCTCCACTGCATCATACCTGTCTGCACCGCTGCAAACCCCTGCTTGCACATGCACCGCGTCCAACACCTCACCACCACACCGTACCTGTCTGCACCGCTGCAGACCGCTCTCGCCGTCCTCCACACACCCATCCACGCTCGCCAGCAGCACATTCGCCCCCGTGCCGTTGGAAGGCCGCAGATACTCCTTTGTGGACGGCGAAGCGGTGGGCGAGGCGGGTGGAGGAGTTGACTTTTGAGTCGACTCAAAAGGCGAAGCGGTGGGCGAGGCGGGTGGAGGAGTTGACTTTTGAGTCGACTCAAAAGGCGAAGCGGTGGGCGAGGCAGGTGGAGGAGTTGACTTTTGAGTCGACTCAAAAGGCGAAGCGGTGGGCGAGGCGGGTGGAGGAGTTGACTTTTGAGTCGACTCAAAAGTCGAAGCGGTGGGCGAGGCGGGTGGAGGAGAGGCGGAGGGGGAGACACGCGAGGAGGGCAGTCGGAAGGGGGCTGGGGCAGGGGCGGTGGAAACAGGGGGTGGCGGCGGTGGCAGTGGCGGCGGTGCTGATATCATCACCGAGCCTTCAGCAGCTGAGCCTGAGCTGTTAACACCAGAGGAGGAGTCTGTGCCAGGTTCTGAAGCGCCTGTGGTCTTCTTCCCTAGGGACTCATAGACATAGACGCCCACGCCCCCGGTGGGAGCAGTGAGGGAGACGAACCAGTCGTTGTCTGGCAGGCGCACTGTGACTGTGTGCCAGCCTGTCAGCTCCGTGAATGTCTGGGGGTCCTGAAACCTGATGTGCGGGAGGGAGGAGAGGAGGAGAGGAGGGGAGGGAGACGAACCAGTCGTTGTCTGGCAGGCGCACTGTGACCGTGTGCCAGCCTTTCAGCTCGATAAATAGCTGGGGGTCCTGGAACCTGAACGGGTGTGAGGGAGGGGAGAGGGTGTGTATCTTAGCACATACTCTCTCCCATTCACCAGCAACGTACCAGTCGTTGTCTGGCAGGCGCACTGTGACCGTGTGCCAGCCCGTGAACTCTGTGAATAGCTGGGGGTCCTGGAACCTGGTGTGGGGGAAGAACGAGAAAAGCGGGGAGGGGGAGAAGGAACGAGCTGCTCATCATCATGGCCTCCCTTGATGTGAAGTGGCACCCCAGGGCCACCGTCACCACCCCACCGCCATCCTCCCACTCCACACACGCACACACTCACTCACTCACTCACTCTCCAGCACACGTCTCGGATGGCAGTGGAGCAGAGGTTCCACGAGCTGCTAAGCATCGCCTCCCTCGATGCAAAGTGGCACCGCAATGCCACCGTCACCTCCTTCCCACCCAAACACGCCTGCACACGCAATTCCAAACACTCACCCTGGTACAGAGAGAAACTCTCACCAGCACACGTCTCGGATGGCAGTGGAGCAGAGGTTCCAGGAGCTGCTCTGCATGGCCTCCCTCAATGCAAAGTGGCACCGCAGCGCCACCGTCACCACACCATCGCCACACTCGCTCATACACAGCCACGCAGACACTCACTCACACAGGTACAGAGAGGGAACTCACCAGCACACATCTCGGATAGCAGTAGAGCAGAGGTTCCAGGAGCTGCTAACCATGGCCTCCCTCAATGCAAAGTGGCACCGCAGAGCCACCGTCACCACCTTCCCACCCCCACACGCCCGCTCACGCTTTCCCACACACTCACTCTGGTACAGAGAGAGGGCTCACCAGCACACATCTCTGATAGCAGTAGAGCAGAGGTTCCAGGAGCTGCTAACCATAGCTTCCCTCGATGCAAAGTGACATCGCAGCGCCACCGTCACCGTTGTAACGTTACGCGCGTTACCACAGTCTTGGGCACAGCCAAATCGGCCCACTGCAGGAAATTCAGTTGGGGGTGTGCATGTGCCGTCGCCGCATTGAGGATCCGACCATATGACCTGCAAGGAGGGAGGAGAGAGGGTTTGTGCTGGCTTAGGATCATTCTGGGAGCAGTCGGACAGGCAGACACGAGAATCAGTTTGTAGTGCTCCTATCCAGGATATTTCTTAGTCAACTTTGAGCTCGTTCATCTAAGTTTAGGTATAGCCTCTGGCTAGCGTTGGAGATTAGTAGTCACTTGGAGAAAATTCTGGTTTTCTGGTGCAATTTTCACTGAAAACAGAGAAGTACAAACAACTGATTGAAAACAAACACATTTAAGCATTTCGAAATGTGATGTGCGCCTCGCGTAACGCGTCATCCGCGTTTCAGCCCGAGTCGCACGCGTAACCGAATTCGGTAACCGTCACCGGAACCGAAACCCGTTTGTCCCTTCCGCACCGAACACGGTTCGGTTTCGGTTGGACATTCTAGGCTTCGGAAATGTCTTCTCGACATTTCCCGAACCCTATTTCTCAGTCATTCCGTTTTCCCTTACTTTCCTCACGTTTTCCTCTCGTAACTACTTAGCATGCAGCCCCACCGTTCTAGGTACCGGTTCCCCATATTAGGTCGTAGTTCCCACCGTTCCTAGAGTTCTTCTACCGTCCCTAGGTCAGGCGCGCAGGCCGGTAGACACTAGGGCAGTGGCGAACCACCCTAACAATCTCCCCCGTGGTTTGCCAGCTGCCACCCTCCTATGCTCCAGTGGTTACAATGTAACCCGCCTTCTTCTTCCCTTGCTGATCCCAACCGTAAGGTGGTGTAGTATCTCGTGTTGCTGCTCCGCTGCTCCCTTGCAAGTCCTTGAGGGTGCGCATGCCGACAAAATACTTGCAGAACTCGAATTTTGCCTTCGGTAGCACCTTGGTGAGGAAATCCGCTGGCTGCTCATGTGTTCCCACGTGCACGAAGGTGAATGCCTTCTTCTGTAGCTGCTCCCGTACCCAATGGTACCTCACGTTCATGTGTTTCGTGCGCCCATGCCAGTTGTCGTTTCGTGCGAGGTCAATCGCTGATTTGTTGTCCGATTTGATTGTTGTAGGTCCTTCCACTTTGACCCCCATCTCTTGAAGTGAGCGCCTCAGCCACACACCCTCTTGGCATGCATAAAACAGCGCCATATATTCAGACTCCGCGGTGGACAGAGCGACGTCGGTGAGCTTCTTGGCTTGCCACATGATTGCTGTACCGCCAAGGAGGTAAACATAGCCATAGGCTCCCCTCCCATCCTTCTTGTCTGATCCGTGTGAGGCGTCAGCGTACCCCACTAGCTCTAGACTCTCCTCTCCCCCTTCAAACAGCAGCCCCTCATCATCCCCCTGCAAGAGGTAAGTGATGGTCCGCTCAATTTCCTTCCACTTGCGTCCCTCGGGCTGCAACACCCTCTGTCCAAGAAAGCTTGTAGCATAGGCCACATCAACCCGTGTGCATGACACCGGGTACATGACTGAGCCTACCATGGATTGGTAAGCTTTGAGCGCTCTCTCCCTGTTGCCCCATGCCTCAATTTCTGCTCCCACATCGACCTCCTTGTCCGCAAGGCTGCTGAGAGGTGTTGTCACTGGTTTAGTCTTGCAATGCCCTCCAAACCTCTCCCGCAACCTCTGAAAGTACTTCTTCTGGTATAGCAGCAACTTTTTCTCCTCCCTATTCCTCTCTATGTTCATTCCAAGGAAGAGAGTGGTCCTTGGAATCTTCTTCACCTGAAATACAGCTGCGAGGTGAGTGCACACCTCCTCCACCTTCTCCTCCTTTGCTCCAGCCACTAGGATATCATCCACGTAGAGGAGTAGGAACACCTTGTTTTCCCCCTCTCCCTTCCAGTAGAATGCACGGTCACATTAGCTCTTGATGAACCCCCCCTTTTCCAGCTGTGCGTCCATGGCTAGGTACCACTCCCGTGGGCTTTGTTTCAGCCCATAAAGTGCTTTGATGAGCTTGCACTTTCTGTCCGTGCCGTCCTCACACCCCGGTGGCTGATTCATGTAGATAGTCTCCTTCAAAATGCCATAGAGAAAGGCATTTTTTATGTCCAGCTGCACCATGAAGTACCCGCGTGCCGTCACCACCTTTAGCATGATTCTTGCCGTTGTTAATTTGCTAACGGGTGCGTAGAGTTGGTCGTAGTCCTCTCCTTCCACCTGAGTGTAGCCTTTAGCCACAAGTCGTGCCTTGAAACGCTCAAGTTGTCCCATGTCTCCTGTTTTGATCTTGAAAATACAGCGCACTCCCACTGCTTTCCTCCCCTCGGGCATGTTCACAAGCTCCCATGTCCCCCTTTCAGCCAAGGTATCAAGTTCCTCCTGGATTGCAGCCCTCCATTGCTCCTTGTTCGGTCCGGACAGTGCCTCTTCAATGGTGAGAGGCTCGGTGGGCAGCTTGTAGCTTTCCACCTTCCCCTTTGATAGAAGTGCCGTTGCCGTAGTGGTAAAGAGGAGGTGGGTGTGAATGTCCTTGCAGCAGGTCAGAAGCATTTGGGCATACTTGAGGTTGGGTTTCTTGACCCGTTTCCCTTTGCCCATCTCCTCATTCTCATTTTCAGCTCCACCTTTCTCTGCTGCTGCATTATCATCCGTTCCTTGTTGCACGGAATCTCCTTCAATCTCTCTTCCGATGATGATCGCTCCGTCCACAAGTAGGTCTTCAATCTCTGCTGCCGCCTTTTCATTGTCCCCCGTGTCAATGATGCGCCATGGGTCGGAGTACCCCGTGCTGGCAGATTCAGCCACACTCTCTTCCACATCAGAAATCTCAGCTTCTTCCTCACCGGCTTCATTCGTTGCGCTGTCACCCGCTTCTTCTCCCTTATCATTTTCTTCTTCACCCTCTTCCACGGCAGTTGAAGGTGAGGTTAGCTCCTGGACCTCCCACACCCAGTCGAAACCCGGTGTAGTGTGGTCTTCGTAGTCGTCATTGTCACCGCTTCCATTGGCTGCCCCTATCCCCTCTTCTCACTCCCATCTATCATCTCCTCCACTGGAGTTGGTGCTGCTGCCGCTTTCTTTGCAACAGCTCCTTGTTTCCGTCCCTTCCACTCCAAGTAGGTGTCCTGCTCGTAGAAGGTAACATCTCTGGTCGCCGTGACTTTTCCAGTCTCCACATCGCGTATCACCCACCCTTTGCTCTCCGGGCAGATTCCCAAGTGAATTCCCCACTTGGTCCGAGGGAGAAGCTTGTGATCGGGTCCCGCCGCCTCTCGGTATTGCGTCATGCAGCCCCAAACACGTAAGAACTCCAGATTCGGCTTCCTCTTGTAGAACGCCTCGTGAGGGGTAACGTCCGCCGCTAATCCCTTTGTCGGTAGCCAATTTTTCAGCCAAAATGACATGCCTAGTGCATCTCCCCAGTAGTGAAGGGGCAATTTGCTGTCCGCGAGCAAGCTCCTCACACCCTCCAGCAGTGATCGGTTCACCCGCTCCGCAATGCTGTTGTGTTGAGGAGTGTATGGGACCCATGTGTGTCGTGTGCCAAGGTCGGTGAAGGTAACGAAATATTTGCTGCCATGTCGTGAAGCCACTCGCATCGGTCCACATACGTCGGCTGCCACAATAGCCATTGTCTCGTATGGCTCACGGACTCCATGCTTGGGATGTGGTGCCTTTGTTGCCTTTGATTCCACGCAAGTGCTGCACTTCAGATTTTCCTCTCCACCCTCGGCTACCTTCACTCCTGCTGCCATGTTCTTCTTGACCAGCTGCTTGATTCGAGTGTGACCAGCGTGCCCCATCCTCCTGTGCAGCAGGTTGACGTCTACCGTGCTCACTGCTGCAGCCATAGGAAGCGCCTGCTGCTGCAGCTCCTTGATCGGAACTTTTTTCAACTTGGTGCGTAGCTCATCTCGTGCCACCTTGCCCGCTTCCGGTTCAGCCATGTACGTGGGCTTCTCCCCACTCTGTTTTTCGTGCAGCTTCATCTCGTACAGCCCTTGCTTGCGTGATCCTTCCGCTATCACCTTCCAATCCGAACCGAACACCCATATGCTGCCCTTGTCACTGAAAGTCTCGCACCCACCGCTGTCCAACTGCGATTGGCTTATGAGGTTGAGTGTGAGCTTGTCCACCAGCAGCACGTTGTCCAGTTTCACCTCACCATAAGCACTTTGCAGCACTAGATCTCCTTCCCCTTTCACAGGAAGTTTCCCCTCGTCTCCCAACAGCACGTACGGGATCGGTGATGCTCTGAAATTTTGCAGCCACTCCTTCCGATTGGTCATGTGTTGGGTACATCCACTATCCATGTACCACTCCTTGCCTTTGAGGCCCTTTGCAAGCAGGCATGCTCCGGATGCTCTTGCAACATTGGCCTTGTGGGCTCCCCCGAGGATGACGTCGTCGTCGCTGGTTTCCGCTTCGGTGGCGTTGATCTTCACAGGTACGTGATTCCTTTGCTGCTGCTGCCCTCCCCTAAAGCTCTTGCTCATTGGGTTACTGTAGCAATCGATTGCCTTGTGACCAAATTTCCCGCAGTGGTTGCAGTTTCCAGCAAATCCGCCTCGCTGTCGTTGTCCTCCTACGCTTGTTTCCTCATTGGCAGATTGCCTAACTGCTGCCGTACCTCTGAAATTCTTGCTTCTTGGGTTGGAGTAACACTCGGCAGCCTTGTGCCCTTTCTTCCCACAGTGGAAGCAAACTCCGAATGATTTTCCTGCCCCAGTTGCGTTCAACATGGCATGTTTGTTGTTGCTGAAGTTGTCCGGCAGCGCCTCCCTTCGCTCTTCCTCAGCACGTATCAGCGCAACGTCTTGAAGGGACTCCACCAGGTCCGTCATGTCTGTAGGGCGTCTGCAGGCCAGCATCCGCTTCTCTGCTGCCCATGATTTCGGTAGGCCGCCAATGATGTAGCTCATCATTTGCTTCTCCGATTCGGGCACTCCCATAGCCGTCAGGTTGTCGTTGTAGCCTTTAGCACGGCCCACGTAGTCCACCACCGTCTCGGAAGGTTCCATGGCCAGCAATATGAGTTTCGTCCTCACTGCTGTCATCTTTGCCTCGCTTTTCCCGAGGTACACTCGTTCCATGTACGCCCACGCCTTCTCTGCTGCGTTGTCCTCCTCAGAGAACGGGTCGAGTCGTGCTGCGATTGAATCCGAGACCGAATGGCAGAGTTGAAAGAAAGCTTGTTGGCTTCTTTTCTTGAACGTTTTTTTCTCTTGTGCGGTTGCAGGTGCAGGTCCATCTTCCTCCGTCGCTGCCTCTGGGTTGTAGAAATGCCACAAATCTACCTCCCGGGCGCGTCGCATGAACTTCAGCCTCCATGTGCCGTAGTTCTCTCCATTGAAGCGTTGAGCTTCACTTAGGCCAATTGTCGGTTTGGCCACGATTTGCCCCTTGGCAAGGGCATCGAGTAGACTCTGCAGCTGCGCACCGTCAGTGTTCACTGAAGACCCTGAACTGGTCTCTCCATCTCCTTTCCCCATGTCGTTGAATATTCGCCCTCTCCAATTACTCTAAAAAATTATAACGCCTCCAAGGCTTTTATAATGAGGCTCGACGCGACGATAACCAAGCTCTGATACCAGCTCTAAGTTTAGGTATAGCCTCCGGCTAGCGTTGGAGATTAGTAGTCACTTGGAGAAAATTCTGGTTTTCTGGTGCAATTTTCACTGAAAACAGAGAAGTACAAACAACTGATTGAAAACAAACACATTTAAGCATTTCGAAATGTGATGTGCGCCTCGCGTAACGCGTCATCCGCGTTTCAGCCCGAGTCGCACGCGTAACCGAATTCGGTAACCGTCACCGGAACCGAAACCCGTTTGTCCCTTCCGCACCGAACATGGTTCGGTTTCGGTTGGACATTCTAGGCTTCGGAAATGTCTTCTCGACATTTCCCGAACCCTATTTCTCAGTCATTCCGTTTTCCCTTACTTTCCTCACGTTTTCCTCTCGTAACTACTTAGCATGCAGCCCCACCGTTCTAGGTACCGGTTCCCCATATTAGGTCGTAGTTCCCACCGTTCCTAGAGTTCTTCTACCGTCCCTAGGTCAGGCGCGCAGGCCGGTAGACACTAGGGCAGTGGCGAACCACCCTAACAGTTCAGGCCCACGGTGGGGCAATAACCCTGTGGAATGGACCCACCTGAATGATGCTGTTGTTAAGCCAGGTGTAGAAGTCGCTGCTGCTGGCAAAGGAGTAGCTTGAGTCCCCTGAGTAGTCCTGCCTCAGAATCACACATGCATACAGGCACACACACACACACACACACACACACACACACACATACACACACACACAGACACACACACACACACGAAGCACAAGGCCAGGGTCTGAACATCCATAGGTTATGGAATGGGGCCAAGGAAAGCTAGAGAACAAAGTTACGGGAGCTGTTCAACACGAGGATACTGGAGAGAGGGAGGAGAAGGGAAGAGAGGGAGGAAGGGCATACAGGCGGCAGGAGGATGGAGTGGGCTGAGGCCACCTGGTAGCTCTGAAATGACTGAGCCTGGTGAGGGGATGAATGAGACGGGGAGGAGGATGTGAGAGAAGGGGGGCGTGACTCGTGAGTGAGGGAGATCGTGAGTGAGGGTGCAACAAGCCAACGATGGGAGAAGCATTTTCTCCTGTTGAAATCAACAAGCAAGCCGAGAGGAGAGAAAGTCAACAGGATGACTCACGCATGGCGAGGATTGGCACCTGAAGGCACCTGATGGCACCTGATGGCACCTGAAGGCACCTGATGGCACCTGATGGCACCTGATGGCACCTGAAGACACCTGAAGGCACCTGAAGACAGAGCATGAGGAGGTAGAGCGCGGTGAAGAGTGAAAAGGCGACAAGGTTCTTATAATTGTGCAGCTGCGTCTGTGCCTCCACCACTCGCTCGAACAAGGCTGCAAGCGAGCAAAGGGGGGGAGAGGGGAGAGGGGGAAGGGGGGGGTGCGGAAGGTGGCGGAAAGGGAAGGGATGGGGAGCAGGTTTTTGTCGTAGTGCAGCTGCGTCTGTGCCTCCTTATCCATCCTGATGTAGCTTGTATTAAAATCGCTGAGGCGCGTCATAAACAGCAGCTTTTCACACTAGAGGCAGTTTAAATGAACTGCATAAGTGACCTCCTGCAGATAAAACCCTCACCAACAGGTGAAAGTGAAACCCTTGTGCAGGTACGTACCTTGAATCACCTCGTCATCCATCCTCTCCACCTCCTCATCATCTAAAAGAGCCACTCCCTCTCCTACTATCCCCTTCATGTTGCTTCCCACTCCTCCCTCTCCTCCGCCTCCTCCTCCTCCCCCTCGTCCTCCGCTTCCTCCTGACCCTCCTTCCCCCCAATCACTCACATCCCCTCCCTCTGCTGCATCTCTCCCCCAACCCCGCCACCAACCCATTGACCCTCCCCATCCCCCCCTTCCTCCAATACTTCTCCCCCCTCTCCCCCAATTCCTGCTCCCCTCATCCATACCCCTTCCCCCATACGCCCCACTCCTACCCCCATTCTCCCCTCCAACGCAAAAATCTGCACTCAACATCCGAAAAAGCTTCCCATTCCGCCTCCTCCCTCCCCCTCCCTCTCCGTCCCCCTCAACCCCTCCTTCCTCTTCTCTCCCCTCACCCCCCTCTCCGCCTATCAGCCCATCCCCCTCACCCATCTCCTCCCCATCCCCTTCCTCCACCCGAGCCACACTACTCTTCCTCCTCCCCACTCCCTCATGCCCCTCCTCTCCCTCCTCCAAAGCCCACCGCACACTCAGCTTCCCTCGAGAGGAAGAGGAGGAGGAGGAGCGGCCAGCCTTAACGCTCGGATGCCTGAGGGAGGAGCGTGGGAAGGATTGAGGCGTCTTTTGTAGAGTTAGGGTTCCTGCGTTTAGGGCTTTTGTGATTAGCGTTTCTGTGCTTAGGGTATTTGTGATCAGGGTTCCTGTGCCTAGGGTTCCTCCTGACCCTGAGGGCCCTGAATCTGGGGGCCCTGAACCTGGAGGTTCGGAGCGTGGGGTTCCTGTCACTGTTGCCTCTACAGCTGTAGCTAAACCAGGCTCAGATGCATGCCCTGAACGTGCAGCAGACCCGGGTTCGATTCCTGATGCTGACGATTCTGGAAAATCCACGACACCAGCCCCGCCTCCATCCCGATCTACCCCTGGTCCCTCCAACCCTCCGTTAACCATAACTTCAACCAATGAACGACCCTCATGTGATTCTGGTCCCGGAAATCGTGGCTCCCTAGGGAATGCCGATAGTTCCAGAGACCCTGGTCCCTGGTGCCTCAGATTGGCCCCTGTTCCCTCATGAGTATATTTGGGGGAGGCGACATTGCGGGTGTAGCTGTGTTGCTTGGGAAGGCCGCTGCTGCTGCCAGAGCTGCACGCACAGGCGAAGCACACACGCTGTAACTGGTTACACGAATGACAAATGGTGGTTACTGGTTACAGACATATGGTGGTTGCTGGTAACGAGGGTGAGAAGGTGGTTGGGTGACAAGCTCATGCAAAACGAGATAATATCATGCAGACAAACCATTTTTAATGGAATCAGCGTCCTCACCTCGAAGAACGCGCCTGGTGTAGGTTGAGCTGCTCATACGCCTCAAACTTAGCGGGGTCGTCTAATAACGAGGATGACTTCGGAAACGAGCGACCGGCGGAGTAAGCGGACGAGGAGGGATCAAGTAGCGCGCCTGACGGTGACTTTGGAAGCGAACCGGACTTGGGTAACGAGCCGGAGTTAGGCGAAGAGCGCGAGTTCCCTGGGGAATGGCGGTTTACGCTCCCTCTAGGACTCCTGCGACCCAACGCGTCGTTGATGTCGTCGCCAGCGTCGCCGGAATCGCCTGCTGGCTCGTCGTGATGTCGTCGCGATACCACTGCTGCAGCCGCTGCCTCCGCCATCTTTCTTACACAACAGAATAACTTACTCTCTATTGGCACTACCTAAGAGAGCCAAAGAATGGTTGAAACAATGGCTGACGTTTCAGCTATTCACTACATAATGTAGTAACCCCCATACACTAATGCTGTAGCAGGCGTACTAGTGAATAAAACACCTAGTTTTACTGTTCTGGCTGCAGCGCACGATGTATGGCATGGAATGCCACATGCTTGTTATGGCGTGTGCAAAGTGCCCAAAAACTCGACGTCGAGCAACGTCGGTGAATTTCCACCCTCGGATCAAAGGTTCCAACCGTCAGGATTCACCGACGTACCTCGACGTCGAGTTTGTGCAGCACTTTGTACACGCCTTTGGCAGAACATCAAAAGTTCGGCTGCGATGTCAGAAAGCGACAGTTCTGACCATCAAAGAAGTGTTCGCGGGCCCCGCGAAGAACTTTGGCTGGTAACTCCGTCGTTAGCGACACCGACGTGCGTTGAACTTGCCAATTTCGGTGGGGACGATTCACCGAAGATTCTCTTCGATAATACCCGTTTCGAATAAAAAAATGTTCCCTCGTGTAAGAGGCACAGTGAGTGGACACATGGAACCACCTAAACAAACGACAACAGAGTTCCATTCTGTTGAAATTTCTCGTAGAATTGATTGAAGCATCAAAGGATGTGCCATCGCTTATATCCGAAAGAGTGACATGAATGTACAATTCATAGATGGACTAGAAATGTCAGCTGCTCGCATAATCTTGACCTGCACAATGTCATCAGTGTTGGTGTGAGCAAAATAACTACAGTCACACACACAGTACAGCTCTCAAGGAGAAAACCACTTACATCTAACCGAGTATCAGCAGAAGAGGTCACTCCAAATCCAAATGAGCGAGCCTGAAAGGATGCCGTCAGCTCCACTGCCACTTCACCATTCTGAATATAATGTCATCAGAAACACAGAAAGCACAGGATGACCTTTCTGCAAGAGCAAAAGGGAATGCTGCACGGCACAATTGCTGAGGGCAGGGAATAAGACTGAGAGGCCAATGGGTGCAGTGCAGTACCTTATGCTGCGGGTAAGCAGAGAGCAGCAGCAGACCAACATCGGAAGCAACGGGCCACTGCCTCTTCCTCTCTGTTTCCCCCCGCTGCTGCTGATCATCTAATGCTGCTGACAGAGCTGCCACATGAGCATTGAGCCTGGCAATCCCCATCGCTGCAGGGTCAGACTCACCACCTTCCATGGCCGCCTCGCACACGCACCGTGCGAGCTGGCACTCCACGATTGGCTCACCGGCCCCGGACACACTGGCAGCCACAGCAAGCATCTGCGGCTGGTGCTGCTGCTGCTTCTGATCATGCTCTGACTCAGTTTCCACTGCCGCTGCATGGAAATCGCCTCTGACGCTGATCTCTTGAGCAGCCTCTGAGCATGCTGGATCTGCTGCTGATGACTTGGGTAGGTTGGATGCGGTGCTGATGGAGGCATCAGCCCAGCAGGCTGCCCCGTGCATTGCTGCACACCCCACCCTGCCAGGCGCCTGTGTAAGGTGGGAAGGAAAGAGGTGGTGGCATGGAAAGAGAAAGAGGGGGGTGCAAGAACGAAGGGGAAACGGATGGTCGGAGGAATGGGTTTGAAAGGGAGAGGAGCCCAAGCTCACATCCAGCAACGGCGCTCACCTTGAAAGCTATTCCCCCACTAGACGCGGCTGCTGCTGCTCCGCTTGCCACCTCAAAACACACCGCCCCCACTGTGTCCCACGGGCCCTCCTGCTCCTCCTCCTCTTCGTCCTCTCCCTCTCCCTCTTTCTCTCCCTCCTCTCCCTCCTCTTCTCCTTCCTCCTCTCCCTTTCCCACAACCCTTGTCTTTCCCTCTTCCTCTCTCCCTCCCGTCCAATCCACCTCACCTCCCATGCCCTCAATACCTTCTACATCCTCCTCATCACCCTCCCTCGTTGATTTTCCCCATCCCCCATAATCTCTGCGCTCCCTCTTGGCATCTTCCCCCCACGTGCCCATGCTACCCTTCTCCGTCCGCACTTCGTCCAGATCCTCTTCTTTCTCTATTGCCCTGAACGCACGCACGCACTCCTTTCTCCCCTGAAGCTGCTCCAGAGCCCCCACGATTCTCCGGTACTTGCGCCACTGGCCTTCTGCTGCTGGCGTCACCAGATCCTGCCATGCCGAGAGAACAAAGGATTCGACACAGTCACTTGTGAGAATTCTCAAAAGTGACTCCAACGGAGTTGGTTGATCCAAAGCCCCCACGAGTCTCCTGCACTTGCGGCACTGGGCTTCTGCTGCTGCTGACACCAGATCCTGCCATGCCATGCCGTCCCGTTGTTGCCATGCCACACCAGGTCATGCCATCCCAGGTGCTGAGAAATCCATGATAAGATGGAGCACACGTGCACACTGACTGACGCGCGTGCGCGCGCGCGCGCGCGCGCACACACACACGCCCTCCTCCCCCACTCTTCCCCACACACACACCTGTGGGTGCCTTGCAACGGCGTATGGCGCATGAGTCTGAGCCCACAGCAGCGCTCCTTCCCCCGCCAACATCCTGACAGCCACGCACATGCAGTGCAGACATGCAGTCATGCAGACGTGCAACCACCCCAGAGACGCATACATGCAGAGGGACACGTGCATTTGCAGCTGAAGGACCCTCGATACATTCATGCGAGTGTGACTAAAACAAAATACTCCTCAACACTCTTCAAGTAAAGATTTTTTTTTCTTTTGCTCTGGTATAAAATTAGTACCTCACACGCTGCCCTGCATTCACAAAAACTCTTAACAGGACACTCACACCCACAAAGGCACTCATACTTGCAAACACTGACACTCACAGACACACATGGGAGGGATGCGGCCGAAGGGAAGCGGACCCTTGTGTCTCTGCCTTGCCAGTGCTGCTGCCACTGACACTGGGCTTACTAAACCTGAAGGCGAGAAAAATTCGCATAGAGGGGCATGAGTTAGAAAAGTTTCAGTTCCAAAGAAGAGGCCCTGAGAAGCTACGAAACAAAGACGGCAAAGCACGTCCCATATTTTTTAGGCGCCTCTAAAATCGTCTCATGACTAACGGCAAAGCACGTCCCAGAATCCCTCTAAGTTGATCCGCTGCGAAGGGACCTCTAAGAATCATAGGGAGAAATGTGCGTGAGGGATTAGAGGAGGGGGAACATTAACCTGGTGCTGCTGCTACCGAGCCGAAAAGCTTTGCTCGGCTGCCCAACATGCTGCCCGAAATGCTTGCATCGCACTCCACCTCGCCTTTTTCGGTCAGATTGGATCCCCGGGCAGCATTGGTGATACTGTGGCTCTGTGGGTTGGGGAGGGGGCAAAGACACATTAGTGATTCTTCAGTGAAAGGAAGAAGGAGAGAGGAGAGGCGGAAGATAGGTGGAGGGAAAAGGAGATGCGGAGGAGAAGTGAAGCAGAGAGGTTGAAGAAAACAAGAACGTAGGCTAAGGACGAGAAGTGTCGCACAGAATCAATGGATAAACACACAAGAAGGTCACACAGATATGTGTAACACTGAAACACGTGAGCGCACCTCTAAACATCTAACGGCTGCCACGACAGCATCTAGAGCCGTACACGTGGACGAACAGCAGCGGTCCAAACCCGAACCCGGCGCAGATGCACGATTCTTCGCGTCTAATCGGCCTGCTTCTCCCGCCCCCGCGCATTCTCCTCGCTGCCCTTCCGCCGATGTTCCGCCAGCTCCGCGCAACACCAGCTCCGCGGCTGCGAGGGCGTCGCGCATGGCGCGCAGATACCGCTGCTCGTAACGCTTGGAGTGGTAACCCGCTCCCACGTGCACGGCTACAACATACCGCCTTCCTGACGTGGAATTCGATTCGTGAGAGTCTTGCTGACGAGGCCGCTTGCTACGGTGGTGCAAGGAGTTGTCTCTGAACGCGGGAGGCTTATCCATCTCTACGTTTTATTGGTGGAAGCATCCGTTTCATGGAACGATATCGTCGTATGGTATTGGCAGTCAATTCTGTGAATCTGCGCACGTATCTCTGTAGAAAACAACACATCGGCAACGTTTCTGAAAACTACAGGCGGAGAGAACTCACTTCAGGAGCTGGCTAAGACAAACCCAAGAAAACACTTTCAAGTGTAGCTTTGCAAACTTCATTATTTGTCAAGGATTCGAGAATCTCAAGGCACAAACGCGTATAAATCGAACAAGACCTGAACCGTTTCGTCTCCTAAAGCTGCAGCACAAGAATCATAATATCGGCACGAGCCACACAATACCGAGTACACACCGATGAAATTGCAACACAGCCAACAACATAACCATTTCGTACCGTTTCGTCTCCTAAACAAGCCACCTGCCGCCAAAGACGCCGCGCTTCTCGCAACCCAGCTCTCCTCTCGTGTACCTCCGCCCCGACCCAATCCCACAACGCGTACTAACTCTTTTAGACCGTACTATCCGCCATGGCGCTGCGAGCACTCATCGTCAGTACTCTCAAGGCTCACGGAAGCGCGGCGCTTCTCGTGTCTCTAAACCAGGCCACCAGCGTCGCGGCTAAGATGCCACGTCGGCGCAGGTTGTGGATCCCGGACCGGCGATTATTACTATCGCTCGGAATTGTTCTGGACTATTCCAAGGGCTAGAAGATATGCTCATTGGGTTTCCTAACCTACATTTTTTTTAAGCACCTCCATCGTTCATTGGAACGCTTGCCCTAAACTCATAATCGCCAACTGTTAACCCGAGAATCTAGTCCGTTATTTATGCTGATGGGAACGCATGCAGCAGTAACAGCGGTGGCAACATGCCGCAATATTGCCATACCAGGGTTGATCTCCCTGATCAATCGGCAATCCCGATGCAACAGAGGACTCTTCGCGCCGTCAGGCTGGCCGTCGCACGCCTACCAGCTTTCGCACCTGCCTGCACGTCAGGTTCTTAGCGGGGATGCGGCGTACTCCCGTTTCTGCCACCAGAGCAAGCGGCCGGATGCCGTCACATCCATTGCTGGTGCTCCCATTTCCGCCTCAGAACGAGGGGCGGTGAGACGGACCGGCGGTTACGTAGGAGCATTTCTCATTGGGAGTGCAAAGGATCAGTATGCGTGGGTACCAGCGTGGGTATTGGTTGCAGCCCGTTCCACCCGTGGTGATGGTGGTGATGCTGGCGATGCGACTCCTGATGTCTCTGGTTATGGTGGTGGCGGTGGTGGTGGTCATGGTGGTAACCGCCGTGGCGGTGGTGGTGGTCGTGATGGTGGTAGTGAGGAGGAGGAGGAGGAGGGCGATGGAAGCAGCAAGGAACCTTCCAACCCATCTCCTTGGCTCTTCCTCCTCCTAGCAGCAACAGCTGCTGCTGCCATCGCCATTCTCTTAAGACCCTCATCCCCTCTCCCCGCTTCTACCCCACCTCCTCCCCCTGCTTCGCGCCCTCCTCCCCCTAATCCCCCCCCTCCTCCCCCTAATCCTTCCCCTCCTCCCCCTAATCCTCCCCATCCATCCCCTTCCCCTCGCTCTCCTCTTCCTCATCTAAATGCTGTCCCTCCTCCCAGTAAACCCTTGTTTCCCCACACCGGCGCACCAGGTCCTATACCCTCCTCCGGCAACTCTCATCGTGACCCTGTTTCTCCCCTTTTTCCAAGCCTCACTTTGCCAGTAGTAGTGTTTGCCGTCTCACTGGTGTTTGTTGTACTCTGTAAAAGGTCGCAGCCACATGCAGCAGAAGATCATACCCACACAAACGGCGATGTATAGCTGGCAATTACCCTCTTGTGGTATTTATTATGCACAATTCACAAAATGATTTCGAATCTTGCAAGCATGCCTGCCTGTAAACACAATCCGTTCTATTCACTACACTACCAGAGCACCTGTAGGGACCCGGAAATATAATTTTATAGAGAACATATAACCCGTATAAAGCATGTCTGTCAACCCAACAATCAGGCACATTGGGCAGGCAGAAATGAACACAATCGTTGTTCACCCTACCAGAGCCCACTAAGGAGTCTGGGCGGTAGAGAGAGGAGGAAATGGTGTCCAGGAGGCGGATTCGAGTGCCTGCAACTGCACGCTGTTGTGTGGGCAGCCACCGAGTGTACTGAGGAATCTTATCACAAGTCTAAAGTAGTAGCTGTGTCGTGTCCTAGGGTACATGTCTGTTAATTGATATTGCATATCTTATACCTGCCTATAGCTTGCTAGTGTATTAGTTTAGTTATTACCATCAACTGCTGGTGGTGTACCCTCTTCTTCTCTCTTCCTTCTCCTATATCTTGTACTCTTGCCTAATATCAAAGCCCTCCTTTTGGCCAAACTCCTCCCTCCATGATTCTCCTTGCTAAGCCTCTCCAAAACCCTAGCTTCTAGTTAACTCGTTCTTCAACAATGTCGTGTCCTAGGGTACATATCAATCAACACCCACGAGTCGGGCACACAATCGTTGTTCACTCCGCCAGAGCCCACAAAGGAATCTGGGCGGTAGAGAGAGGACGAAGTGAGGTGTAGAAGGTGAAGTCGAGTGCCTGCTACTGCGCGCTGTTGTGCGGGTAACCCCGAGTGTACTGAGGAATCTTATAACGAGTTTTAAGAACCTGAGGTGACAAAAAAGGAGGGATGTGTGGATGGGACACTATCAGGACACTGAGGTAACTTCAGGACGCTATCTGTACCGCTTTGTCTCTTGTACTGCAAAAAAAAAGACTCTTACCCAACACGAGCCCCGCAATACCGAGTACACACTAATGAATTCGCCACAGAACGAACAGCACAGCTATTTCGTACCGTTTCGTCTCCTAAACAAGCCACCTGCCGTCAAAGACGCCGCGCTTCTCGCAATCCAGTTTTCCTCTTGCGCACCTCCGCGTCCGTCCAATCCCGCATCGCTACTTAGTGTCTAGACCTTAGTACCCGCCATGGCTCTACGAACACACGTCGGTACTCCCAAGGCTCACGGAAGCGCGGCGCTCCGCGTGTCTCTAACCAGGCCACCAGCATCGCGGCTAAGATGCCACGTCAGCGCAAGCTGTGGATCCCGGACCGGCGATTATTTCTATCGCTCGGAATCGTTTCGGACTATTCCAAGGGCTATAATACATTCTCATTGGGTTCCGTAACTTCATTCCTGAAGCATCTTCACAGGAGCGCTTGCCCTAAATTCACAGTGGCCAATTTATTGCCCGAGTAAAATAGACCGATATTTATAATGATGGCAGCGCATGCAGCAGCAGCAACAGCAGCAGCAGCATGCCGCGATATTGCCATACCGGAGTTTATCTCCCTGACCAATCGGCAATCCCGATGCTCCAAAGGGCGCCCCGAGTCGTCAGGCTGGCTGTCGCACGCCTACCACCTTTCGCCACGTGGAAAATCCCGTAATATGCGGCACAGGGAATACCTGCTCCTTGGTAGGGATGTACGCGCTATAGAGAGTACATACTCTGCACGACCTGCACCTACCGTTCACTCTCCTGCTGCTTTAAACGGGGATCCGGCGTGCTCCCGTTTCTACCATCAGAGCAACCGGCTAGCAGTTGTCACAGCACCGCCCTTCCACGCATGCTGGCTCCGCGTGGGTTCACGCACGGGACGTGCACGAGTTGGCAATGCTGGCAGCGGTGATGGCACGGGTGCGGGTGATGCGAATCGTGAAGTTTCTGGTAGTGGTGGTAACCACAGTGGCAGTAGTGGTGGTGGTGATAACTCCAGCGGTCGCAGTGGTGGTGGTGGTGGCGACGAGGAGAGTGGGAATGGGAGCAGCAAACCACCCTTTAACCCACTCCCTCTCATCCTCCTCTTCCTCCTAGCAGAAGTTGCTGCTGCCCTCGTCATTCTCTTAAGACACTTGCACCGTCTCCGCCCTCCCTCCCCACCTTCTCCCCCTGCTCCTTCCTCTCCTCCCCTTAATCCTCCACCTTCGACCTCTAAACCTCCTCCCACGCGTGTACATGTCTCTTCTCGTCCTCCTAACCCCCCCCCGCCCCTCACTGCCGAACCACTTACTCTTCATCCCTCCAGCAAATCGCGTTACGGTCCTCCTTTCCAGCTTTTTCCTAGCTTCACTTGGCCTGTGGTGGCTGCAGTTTTTGCTGTCTCACTCGCGTTTTTACTCTTTAAAAGGTCGCAGCGTCGGCCTCCTCCACGTGAAGTGCAAGATCATACCCACACAAACGGTGACATTTAGCCAGGCAATCCCTTATTATTTATTGTATGCATTATGGATAAACTGGTCTCGCTTTGAATACATGCCGGTGGACATCTTCCTAACACAGTAACTACACTAGCGGAGCACCCTTAGGAACCCAAAAAATAGCTTGCCTAGAGAACAGATTATGCAGCATGTCAACCCACGAGTCGGGCACACAGGCAGGCAGAAATGCAGTCGTCATTCACCCCTCCAGTCCCTCTGTGAGACGAGACTACACTACTGGACTGGAGCACCCTTAGGGACCCGGAAAATCGCTTGTCTAGATAACATATTATGCAGCATGTCAACCCATGAGTCAGGCACACCAGGCAGGCAGAAATGCACACAATCGTTGTTCACCCCTCCAGAGCCCACAAAGGAGTCCGGGCGGTAGAGAGAGGAGGAGGTGACGTCTAGAAGGCGGATTCTCGTGCCTGCTACTGCGCGCTGTTGTGCAGGTAACCACCGAGTGTACTGAGGAATCTTATAACGAGTCTGAAGAACCTGAGGTGGCAGCGAGGGTTGGGGGGAGAAGGGTGTGTGGAAGGAAAGATATGAGAAATCAACAAGAGGAAAAGACAAGCAGTTGT